CCTTTGACCCACAGCTTCCCTCATTGTTTGTGTCTGACTGCACACAAAACAAAAGCGATGAGCGCGTGGGCGCCGGCGGATGCGGACTTGACTTGACCCGTATTTGCATATCAATGAATGTCAACGCTTATTTTCTTACTTTACCTTCACATCATGAGCGTGCACCGTTCCGTGTGAGTGAGAGAGCAAAAGAGACAGAGCGAGAGAATGTGACTGCTGGGTTGTGTTTTCGTAGACATCTTCATTGTCTTGCCAAGGGCGAGTCAAGTTGACCATATTTGCGAATTTGGCAGACCATTCGGGCCATGCTGGGCGTTCCTGTAGACTGACAGCGTTTTTGTTTACACGCCCCTGGCGCATCTGACAATTTGGTGACAGACAGTGGAGTCGACTTTAGACAAGGTAAAATCAGGTCTAAGTTGTGGCGCAGGTGGTCTAACGCGCAGGCAGAAGGGATCTCTGTCACTGTAGTTCAATCATATAGTATGACAGCAGCTTGCATCGAACCATCTTAACCGCTGTAGAAAAAATTTCTGACTACGCCTGTCTACCAAAATGCCAAAAGAAGGAAAACTCCACTCGTGTGTGCAGTCAGACTGCACTTCATACTAGACTTGCAGGCCTGCGTTGTGTCACCTCATGGTGCCCGCCAAGGTCAGGGGTCGTGCGTAATGGTCCGAACCATCTCGGGGAAAAAAAAAAAAAAAGAAGAAGCCTTCAGTGGGCTGACAAACTTCTCACACTCTGTAATCACAAACTGTGGTGTGTGTTGGTTGTCAGAGCGCTAAAGAGCACATTAGGGTGTATTGTGTTGCCAAAGGACAAGCTTAATGAGCTGCGGTCAAGGTGACGGTCACACCTGGGGGGTTATTTTGCAAGGCATTCATCAATTCACGATTTAAGTTTGCGAACAATCCCTCGAGATGGAGCATACGTTGGTGATGGATATTTCTTGAAACTGAAGACTTAGGTTGCTTTTGTTGAGATACCTGGGAAACTATTTAATTTGTTGTTCTGTGATATTTTGAGATTGGTAGGCAAACAGTTGCGGGTGTATGTCGCCAATACTTACAGTATCTAGCAACTCTTGCTTTCATTCCCTCACAACTTTGGGTGCACGCGTGTGTGCTAATGCGTGTTTGAGTGGCAGTGATGTCACGGTCGCTGTGTTTTCACACGGCAACTTGATAGCTTTGAACCAGCCAACTCGCGGCAATTTTGGGCTCAAATGCACTTGACATAACAGAGAGATAATTGGGCGAGTGCGAGCCTCCGGGGAGCTTCATTCTTTCTTTTCTTTTCTTTTCTTTTTTTTTCTTCCCAGACACTTTGATGACATGATAATGGCTGGCAAAAGCTTTTCCTGCCTCGCCGAGATCACACGTGGAGTGATGTCAGTGAGGGAGATGATGTAAAGATTTTGGATGTTGGTCTGGGATAGTTGCTCTAAACCGTTGCCAGGCTGTCAAGCGTGGAGAATACGTTCCCCAAAACTCTTAGCCACTTTTCACACCTTTGATCAAGTCTTTTAAATGACTCGATGATTACATGTAATTTAGCACAGGAAGTCCCACAATGACTCGCTGACTTTTGCCGGGGTCAAGTCCCATCGCATCCCATTTGACGGGGAGCGCATTACTGGACCACACCAAGGCCAGTACTGCGCAGGGGCTTCTTCGGTGACTCCCAACTCATCTATGGTAGTACAAGTCGCAGTAAATATTAGGATACAAAATATGAACATATCAAGCAAAACAACAAAAGTAGTTAGATAGTGGTGGGCCAAAGCAATAAATGATGACACTACCTGACATAGATTTTTTTTTCCGTTTTTTAATTTATTTTTTTGCTCTGACTTGCGAGCGATAACAATTCTCGTGACTAATATTATTGCCGCTTATGAGTCCTTTACAGAAGTCATGAAAGTCATCTTCATTTGTGTCTGCATGAATTTATTATACTGCCCCTAGTGGTCAAAACACACATGAGCAGGAGAGGCAATGAATTAAACATGATGCACAGATTGGATAATTTCTTTACAGTCGATGTATTTATGTAAATGAAAATATGACAAACAATTTTTAGGGTAATGATGAGGCATTTATTGTAGAGAGGCACACATCGTTAGCCAAATTCCCTTGTTACCTGAGTCATATTTGAATGCTAATGGTAAACAAGACAAAAAAAATAAATAAAAACAACATTTAGCAAGCACTATGTTATTTTTATTTTTTTTATTGATATTGTGACGGTAAGTTAACCCCTTCATGCACCCCGTAACATGATAAGCTGTCCACTGTACTAACCACTGTCCCGGATAGGGATAAAAATGACCTTAGCGATTATGCTATGAGGCAAACGATAGCGTCAAAAAAGATCATCTTTTTGCAATTTTTTTTCAATCTGTGTAGATTGGCAGTGATCAAACTATTTGTTTGTTGAATTTTTTTCTATAATTATTTTTTTCTTGTTTTCCAAAAACATAAAAATGTGACTTTTAGCAACTACTGTGTATGCTGTAAGGCTAACAACAATATAAAAACATGCTGCATCACCCCTTCAACATGTAATGGGTAATTCACACATTAGGTATTTTTGCAACGAGTTGACAACAGTCACGCGTCAGAAAAAAACTTTTGACCAACTTTCAACGAGCATTTCCGAATCTTGTTTCCCTGTTCAGATTGGTTCGGGCCATCCCCGGCCGGTGTGCGCAAATGGGGTCTTGGCCCCTATTCTTTTCGCACCGGTTTGATTTGACCGTTGCTGACACTTTGAACCTTCACAGTTTTCTGTCAAAAGAAGTGGAACGGTTGTGTGTAATTTCCACGCGTATGTGAAAGCTTCGCAGGAGTGGAATAGTGTGCCGCGCTTGCTTCCTCCTCGCTACATTTCTGACTTGATTTCCTGTATTCCTTGTTTTCATTTTCTGTCTTTCCATCGTCTTTTTTCTCGTCCTCTCTGGTTTTACACAGGACTTCTATTTGCTGGTATAATTTTATGCTCACTTTGCTTGAAAATCGAAGCCTTCGTGAGTGACAAATTATACTTTTAAATGAGAACGTTTTTTATTTACCTTTTATTTAGTATGTGAGCAACTTTTTTTTAGTAGTAACACGTTTATGTCTTTAATAGTAAGAAAAGACAAAGCACTTAGTTAACCTTATCTTGAGGAACACTGAGTCCCGAGGTATGAGTGTGAACGCGGATGGTTGTTCATCTCTGTTTGCCCTGCGATTGGCTGCCAACCGGTTCAGGTTGTCCCCCGCCTACTGCCCGAAGACGGCTGGGATAGGCTCCAGCAACCCCCGCGAACCCTCGTGAGGATAAGCGGATCGGAAAATGGATGGATGGATGAATGCTAACCGTCTCCTGGCTGTCCTCCATTTAGCCTCGCTTAGCATTAGCATTAGCATCATCAGAGTGGAATTATTGTTATGAAGACTGTTTCTGTATAACTTGATGACACTGGGCTCATGTCACCAAAAATCAATAAAAAAATATATATCGGTATATGACTTCTGCTACTAATGATGCCTATGGAAGCATGATCACATTTTGTTGTATTACTTAAAGCTAACATTTGCAATGGCATTGGCTTTCAGAGTTATCATGATCACAATCAAAAACCACAGTTGCGTGCGGACCGCGACGTGATTTCATAGTCGCGCACGTTTTAAAAATCAGCGCGTGGCTTATCATATGTCCTGAAGTCGAACACCGGCAGGCGGACTTCCCCAAACTTTCTGCCATCAACCCCTCCCACACCTCCTCCATCACTCTTTTCTCTCACCGCTGCTGTTTGGAGAGTCAAGCCATCCGATTGGCTGAAAAACCCCTCGCTCCACCGACCCCCCTCCCCCCCACTACCATCGCACACTTAATGGACTGTTTATTGTTTGATCGTCAAGTCCAACTCCATCACGCGTTCCCTCCGTCTTTCTGCCTGTGGTCGGTGGTGTTCCGCTTCATGTGGTTTGTCTCCGCCTTTGTTTATATTAAACAAAGTGTGTTTGGGTGTTTGTGTCTGTGTGTAACCACAGTACCTTGTTTAACTATTGTAAAAGAAAAAAAAAAGTGCAGATTCCTAACAATTCAAAAGACGAAAGTGTATTTTTCCCCCAAATATTTATCCTTTGAAAAGAACGAAGATGAAGTGCTTGATGCAAAATGTTTCAGTGGTATTTACAACCTATAAAAAAAGAAATGGAATGTCAAATGACAGTCCTTTACGCATGAGGATTTTATTATGTCTCTATTTTAACTTGGGATTGTTCACTGCAAAGTAAACGGATCATACAAAGTGATTTTATTGACAAGCTACATTGGAATGGGCGATTTTGACAGTTTTCCTTCACCTTCCGCAACATTTTATTTTCGATTTGCTGGACATTTTGAGCTGAGCAGCCACGCTGATTAATGAAAGTTTAAAAACATTTTCTATTCCCGCTTGATGCATTGAGACACTATTCGGAAGAAGCGATACCGTGCGCTGATACCGTGTTTGAGTGTGTCACATCAGTGAGGAAATGTGTGGCATCCCGAAATCACAACCACCGGAGAAACATAATTTTGTGCTCTGCACACATACTTAAGCGAGTGTTGAAAATTTCCGTACCAATTTACGATTATATTGACATGCTGGAATGACGATGAAGTGAAGGCTTCTATTTTCGAGCTTCACAAAACTTTGCAAAACATCGGTGACACCCGCTACTCTGAATCACATCAAATCTGCGCTATCATCTGTCGTCAACTCAGTAGTCAAAGTTTTTCAATGCAAACAACTTCTAAAGTGTTGAGCCTAGCCTTAGCAGGAGCTAGCTCTCGTCCTCCCAGCCTCGACAGCGTGTTTACATCGAGTCGACGTATGAATTATTGCTCTTCGCCGAGCTTTTAACGGCTCCAAGAAAAATGTCTGCAAATACGTAAACATTTGGCGGTGTGCTTTGTTTTGGGGGCCACGAGTGACGTAATGCCAGAAGGAAATTTGCAGGAGGGGTGGGGAGGAGGCGGGGAAGTTGAAGGAAGGCATGCGGGTGGAGAGTACAGCCCCCCCCCCCCCCTACAACTCTTCCACGACCCGGTCCTCAACTTTGACCACCGACCCCGCAGCAGATCTGTCATGAGAGGGTCCTGCTTAACACAAAACGCAGCCTGGTTCAAGAGTCACGTATAGAGCCAGGCTGCTTGTTGAGTGGGGAGTGTGTGAGTGGGGGGGTGAGTTGTACACAGAGAGCTCATTTATCCTCCCTCTCCCTCTTCTCCGCACTTTTCCTCGGCCTTTTGTTTCCGCCAGCCGCAATCATCCTCGGAGAAGCTAGCGGTCGAGCGACAGCAAGGATGTGACAGCCAGGCCTCGTCAGGGTGCTGAAAACGCATGTAAATTATATGCGTAAGATTAAAAAGAAAAAAAAGAATGATTTCAGACAGACGGCAGGGCCAGAAAAATGCCGGCTGAGCTCCCGCTGAGCAACCGAGGAAGACGAGCGGCTCAGGTCAGGAGAACGCCAACATAAGACCAACATGTTTCTTTCGTCCTGTGTGAGCGCAGGAAAAAGCTGTTGCTAGGTAGATTTTCTTGATTTCAATTTCCCGCCTTTTTATTGTCACATGCGATAACATAATAAATGAAAACAATACAGTACACGAAGTTTGCATGTGATGTTATTTTGATGTAAGTGATTTGAACTGTTTTTATTCGAATAAAAAACAAAAAACATTTAAAACACTTCCAAGAAAATTCCATGTTGATTTGTTATTTGTCGTTTAGTGCTTCGTAAGCTTGTTTGATATAGTTTTGTTCTCACCGAATTGGAGTTATTTCAAATTGATTTGACAGTTCAAAATATTTGTATTGTATTTTTTATTTCATGTACATTCTTAGATTGGGTGAAAAATTGATTTACAACGATCACATTATTTCTGCATTACATTTAACATGCTCAAGATTTTAAATCCTTTATTTTAGGATTTAAAAATAATAAAACGTTGTTTTGAGGATCATTTCACTAGATAATTGCTGATTTTAATTACTATTGACACTAATAGGGTAGCTTGCTTTTTTTAAAATGTTTTATTTTGTAATGTCGAATTTAACAATTTATATTTCCGGTGTTGAAATTGCTCCTTTTTTTATTCGTTTATTTATTTTTACCCAATCAGACATTCGCGTGTTTTTTTTTACTCCACACAGAACTACCAATATTTCTTTTAAATGTTTTATTTTGTAATGTCGAATTTAACCATTTATATTTCCGGTGTTGAAATTGCTCCATTTTTTTATTCGTTTATTTATTATTTTCACCCAATCAGACATTCGCGTGTTTTTTTTTTTTTTTTACTCCACACAGAACTACCAATATTTCTTTGTTATTATTATTTTCTGGCCAGTAAATAATAAGACTTGACGCGACCAAAAACGTCGTGAAATAACGCAAAAAAAAAAAAAGCGAACGGATTAAGGTGGTTGCAGTTTAGCCCGAACTCTTTCCGACACATCCAAGCCGTCCTCCTCCGCCGTGCCAACAAAGTAGGTCCGAGTGTTTTGTTGTTCGTTCGGAAGCCGAACGTGAGTGACATGTGATGGCGTGGACTGTGGCGCTTGTTAATGGAAGCTCGCGTCTTCTCATTCGGGTCTCTCTCTCTCTCTCTCTCTCTCTCTCTCCTTCTGACTATTTGACGCCGCGGGCCTTGTTTACTCTTAAGGTTGCGCTCCACCACACTTGCGTGATTCGGCTTTATTTACGTGCCGAATTAAAGCGGAGGATTTTCAAGTCGAGTAAGGACGCCTGCATGGCTACGCGTACTTAACCAAGCAACGAAAAATAACGAGCACATCGTAAATCGACACATTATCGATTAGTAATTTGGTATCTATTGTGGGGTTTTCTTTTGCAAGAAATACCATCTTTTTTTTTTTGTTTGTTTGTGATTTTGATTAGTTTCCCCTCTCTCTGTCTGTCCTTTTAGATAGTTATAATTTGACGCCCTTACTTGTCATCCCTCCCTCTTGTGATTTCCAGTTGCCTCGTATAAATCAATAAAAATGCACACAATCGATAAGATTCTCTGCTCAAATTGTATCATCAATATTGACAGCATAGCAGTATACAACGCAAGCTTTTCTAAAACCTTGCAGTTAATCTGAATTGTGTACAGTAAAATGCTTCTAAACCAAAGATGACCAATTATATGTTTAATGCTTACGTTGTATGATGATCACGTTTACTTTAGGTGTTTCGACAAGAATAAGATTTTTTTTTTTTAAACAAAATGAAATCCCTTTAAAATACATTTAATCATATAAAGCAAACAATTGGGATGTTTCGACAAGAATACGATTTTTTTTTTTAACAAAATGAAATCCCTTTAAAATACATTTAATCATATAAAGCAAACAATTGACTGGAAAAATCACAGCTCTGCCTAAAAATACAACAATCTGTAGCTAGGTTTTTCTGTGTATTATTAATAACGTTATTTTGTGTCTTGGAAAAGTCACAGCTCTGACTAAAAATGCAACAATCTGCAGCTAGTTTTTTTCTGTGTATTATTAATAACGTTATTTTGTGTCTGTGTGTATTTTCATCTTGTTTTATGATGCTTCTTAATCACGGTTTGGTCTGTATTATATTTTTGGATGCGGGATATGGGGGTTGCCTGGCATTGTAAGGTTTGGGAACTAAATTACCGTCAGCTATTTTACTCATAACATTAATTCTTAACACATTTTATGATGTTTGCCAAGCCATTGTTCCGAATTCGAGAAAAATAAAAATTTGGAAGACCAAACTTGGAATCTGCACATTTTAATTTTTTGGTTTGTTTGTTTTTTACTCAGTATTCCAAATGAAGGCGCCACCACAATAAAGGGTGTTAATAAGAGCAGAACTGAGAAAACACATTACCCTTCATCTTCATCTCCAGCAGCAAAACAACAACAAAAAAAATCCACAATTCAATTCATTGTGGGCATTTATTTTGCGGTAGCCATGTCTTGCCTTAAAATTAATTTTGTTTTTACTTCTTTCTTTTTTGGAGTGGTGTGAAGGGGGTGCACCATATCTGTCAACATATAAAGGGGACGAGTGTCTTAAAAAGTGTGTGAAATGCCACAAGAAGCTTTTTTTTTCAAGCCATTTGACACCCTCACCCTTCATTGCTTGTTATCCAAATTTTTTTTCAAATATAAAGTGCTTAACATGAAGAATGTTTTAATTTTTAAATGTTTTGCTCTTGATTTACAGTACGTGTGGATGCTGGTGGGATTTGAGTCAGTTCACCCTAATGTCTTATCTGAGCTGTAAAAGTATCAGAAAGCTTGTCCGAGTGCCATAAATTCCACTCTTATTTGCATTTCAATTTAGCTTGGCAGTGCCCCTCGCATGCGCCACCTCCGCGCTGATACCTTGTTACCTGTTGGTGTCCGCGCACCGAATTAAGAAAGGCCTTTTGTTGCGGGTGCGCCACTTGTGTATGACACCAGTAATGGCGGTAATTGTTATTGTTGAGATTACCTGTCAAGAGGAGGCGCCCCTATCTAGACGAGGGGTGACACAGGGGAAGGCGCGGTGGGCAGGACGGGCTGTGGGGGGGGTGCGAGGCGGCGGGACGCCCTGATGACTTCTCCGATGATAATCAAGCGTCGCGGCCTGTGGGATAATTCAGCTGTCAGTGGCACCTAGCGGGAGCCGGCATCAGCCTGCCGAAGCCCAGCTGGCGTGCAAGAGGAGGAGCGAGGGAGGAAGGG